AAAAAGAAAGGTTCTGCTAGATTTTTGCTGTTATTGATTAAAGTCTTATGTTCTTTAACTATGAAAATTAAATTTTAAAAAAATCAGAAAACCTGAGGATTGTTATGGACTGAATATCGGTATCTCACCCAAACTGTTATGTTGAGGCCCTAACCCACACTATGGCTCTACTTGGAGATGGGGCCTCTAAGGAAGTAATTAAGGTTAATGTGTTCATATGGTGGTGCCCCTGATCCATAGGATTATTGTATCACCAGAGTTCACTTACTGTCTCTCTGGGCATTTGTACCAAGGAAAGGCCAAGTGAGGACACAGTGAGAAAGCATCTATCTACAAGTTAGGAAGAGAACTCTCCCAGAAACCAGATTTGCTGGCACTGATCTTAGACCTCCTGACTTCCAGAATTGAGAAAATAAATTCCTATTGCTTAAGCCACTCAGTCTGTGGTATTTTGTTCTAGCAGCCCAAACAAACTTGATACAGGGACATTATGGTAAGTAAAACGAGTCAGTGACAAAAGAACAAACACCATATGATGCCACTTATGTGAGATACCTCAAGTAGTCAAGTTCATAGAGAGAGAAAGTAGCTGGTGGTTGCCAGGGACTGAGAGGAGGGGAAAATGGAGAACTATTGTTTCATGGATACAGAATTTCAGTTTGGGAAAAAGATTTCTGAGGATAGGTAGTTCAATAGCAGTACAACAATGTGAACATTTAATGTCAACGAACTGGGCTCTTAATGATGGTGGTGATGGTAAATAATTCCTGCATTTTATCACAATTTTTAAAAAGGGAAACAAAAGAATGTCCAGATACTTGTGTTGCAATACTGTTGGGAAGCTGAACTCTGCTTCAATTCTGCACTCCTCTTTGGCTTCCTCAGAGTTCTGTCCTGAATTTTTCAATTATACCCCTCACTGGGGCTCTCTGACTTAGTCCTGATTTCAGTTGTCATCCATAATATGTAACTTTAGCCAGATCTTTTCTCTAGATCCAGTTCCACACCGTTCAACTGAACACTGAACATCTCCTCTTGGAAATCCCATGGGCACCACAAATAGAGTTCAAACTAGAATTCAGTTCCTTCCCTGCCAGACCTACTTATTCATGTTTGAAAAGTAGAAGGGTAATAGAAGTGTTAATACCCTTGCCCTTTCTTTCCTTAGTCTAAATTGCATTCTTGCTTTGATCTACCTTATCTTAAGGGTAAGTCACTTGATATCTTTCCCAGAAATACATCTTTCTGCCAGAAGAAAGACTGCATTTTCATCTTCTGAAAATTATGTTGCCTGACTTCTCTCCATATGTGCATGACGCAATTAGGCTACTGTACCCAAAACTTTAAACCAACCCCTGAGCCCTGAATCTGTGACAAAAATACAAATGTAAGACTCTGGGGACTTGAAGCTACAGTTAGACCCAGAACTGGCTATGAGACCACTTAAGGCTCCCAAATATCTAGGAAAGTTATACACTACTATTGTAGCTTCAGTGCATTGAAGGGCACATACACACACTCGCACACACACACACACACACACACACACTTATTAAAAAACACATGGGATGGATTAAAAAGATGTACATATACACAATGGGATATTACTCAGCAATCAAAAAAGATTAACTCATGCCTTTTGCAGCAACATGGATGGAGCTGGAAGGAATCATGCTTAGTGAAATAAGCCAGAAAGAAAAAGAAAAATACCGGATGGTTTCACTCATAGCAGGAGCATAAAGGACCAGAGGGAAAAATAATAATAATGAACAACTATATACCAGAGACATTTTATGGGGGTGGAGTGGGGAATAGGATCAAAAACAGTGGGGGGAGGGAAATGCACTGGACTATGGTGATGGCACATGGGTGATGTGATGGGAAACCTACAGGGATTACAACTGAGATGGAAAAAGGCACAAAATGATATAAAAACAAACTATTATAATAAAAAATGGGAGCTTGTGTCACATGGAATCTGGTGTTTATTTTCAGCATATCATAACTTGTAATCCAAGAAAACTGTATCCAAGTGCCATGAAGCTTTATAGATTGTGCCACTGGTTATATAAAAGATAGCATTCTTTCCAACTGTAGGGAAGAGTTGAACAGGGGAAATGCTTATAGAAGAGAAAAAAACAAGCTAAGTGGTCAAAGCCTTCTTCTCAGATAAAAGAATGCAGTAGATAATTGTTTAATCAACTATCATTTCCCAGTAGTGCCCATTTTTTTGTTTGTCTTTATTTTCCAGTCTGTGGGTCCCAGAGATAATAAAAAAAAGTTAGTGTGGTATTTTCAACAGTTGCACATGGAGATTGAGAATATTAAACAACTTATATTACTCCCGATTTTATAATGGGTGGATGGAGAGAGAGAGAAGATAGACAGATGTAACATGTGTAAGACATTATCATAAACTGGAAGCAGGTTCTGGGAGAAAGATTAGAGTATCTTAGAGTAGAGAGTGCTCCTGAGGTCGATACTTACAGAAGAAAGATGAGGAAAGAAGCAGGAATGAAGAGGAGAAATCAAATTTCACTTCACTACCAATGCAATGCCGCAACATATCCTGTAGGGAATTCTGAAGCTAGGATGAAACTTCTGAGCTGTCTTGAGCTGGAGAAAGATGTCCAGACCTTTATACACAGAGTCAATAAGTAATTGGACGTGGGCCGCCATGAGAATGAAGTGCGATCTTGATTAAGACAACTCCCTTCGGCTGATGCAATCCCTGTAGGGGGCTGACAGCCAAGGGCTCTCTGAAGGCTTCATGCCCAACCTGCTGCAAGCCTTATTTTCAACAGAAGGAAAGTAATTGCTAAAAGGAGCGCTGGAGAGGGCATTGCAGTGACCACTACAGTCCACCTCTTGTGCTTCCCATATCAACTTCATATAAGTCCTGAGATCAGTGCTTGCCAGGGATCTGGTGGGCCTCTCTTGCTGGGAAAACTTAAGACAAGCTACAGCCTCCAACTTTGCAGCTGGTCTTAACGCCGCTAATGACTATCTCCCTCTTTCATGGTGAATTACAGATACCTTTCATTCTTTAGGTTTTGGTGGGTTACCTGATGGTATGACCCCAAACTGCCATTCCTTTCCTAGAATGGAATTTGATTTGGCTTTCTTAGGCTACAATTTCTATACTTGCTGATAACCACATACCAAGCCAACCAATCTATAGCTCTGATGCCACAGGTCAATGAACCAACTATCAAAATGGCTATTCCAATCATACATCCAGAAACCAGGAAAATAACCATCAGGTGGGTCAGTGGATCCAGAAACCACTGCACACCTGACCTCAGTCAGGAGCCCACAAAATACTGGGCTCTCATCTTCCTGTTTAGTCTATGGCTCTCAGTATCAGCTCTGAACAATGTCCACTAGTCCTCAAAATGCCCGAGTATTCCTCTCTCTCCAGTGAGCAGATAGCTGAGCAGATGGAAGGGCCAGAGGAACCTTTACTGTGCATGTATTGTAGGGTCTTTTGGGAAATCCAGCCTCTCCTTCAACCAGTGCATTCTGGATCAAACACTGACTTAGGGCCAGAAGCTTGGCAAGGGATTATGACTTTTTGAGGCAACTTCCCTCAAACTCTTGACCATCTTTAATTACTTTTATTGTATGGGTTGAGTAGACCGTCAGCTGCCTATTTTCCCCAAACACTGTTATTCTGAGCACTGGTTGTATTAACTATCTTTTACCCATATAGTCACGGGGTTTCTGTGTTCTTATAGCCCTTTCTACAGCTCTCTAAAGGCCAGTTCTGCCACTCTGACCTTGCAGTGCAGTATAGCATTTGCATCCACCCCACTTCTGACAGTGACCTACAGTCATCTTGCCTCACTGGTTTCCAAGCCATCACCATTTCCACCAGTGGTCTGCTGAGCCCTGGCTTGCAGTGCTGAGCCACCACTGAAGTTCCTAGTGATGCCAGTGCCCTTCTCACCCACACATCCCCTATAGCTTTGACAAATGCAGTGTTCCTTGGGTACTCCAGCAGAACATGGTCCTCTGGAGGGTTTTCTGGCCTTATGTAACATATTTAGAGTTTATCATTCACTTCCTTAAGCCTTTAATACTTTCTCCCACCATCTTATATGGCAACCCTGGCATCCATACCTCACTTCATGTAAGCCATTATTTCTTTTCATACGGTAAGGATTCATTTTGGTAGTGAGTTCACATGACCTCCTGAGGTCTGTGTCATGGTTTTAAATTCTGCATCCTAGAAGAGAACTCTCCAATCACTTTAGCTCGCCAATAATTTTATATTCTAGGTCCACTGATCAAGCCCCTCTCAGTCCAAGTACCTTCTGGTACACACTGCCTATATCTGAAGCCCCTCATTGGGGTGTTATTCACTTTCCTTCCTCATTAGGCCCAGCATAAGGTTCTGCTGTAACTTAACCCTATATATAAACCCAGTCGCCAGGAGGGGAGGTAGGGAAAATTCTGAGAGAAACATGTTATAAGAGAAAGGACTCTGAACATTCAAGTAAATGTAGCGCTCACCTTTAATAGAGAAATGAAGGAGAGCTTGGGGAAATCTGAGGACATAAGATTTTAAGGGGCATCAACCCAGATGTTTTCATCCTATGTGTCATTGCCTCATTCCTTCCTAAATAGGGCTCTGATCTAAGTATAATAGATTTGACTTGGTTTGGACTTTACTTTCTTTGAAGCTTGCTTTCAGTAAGTCCTGGACTGGTCTTCAGATTTCTCTACTCTATCGGCAAGAGACAAGAACCTCCTTACATTGTATGAATGAAGCTTTCTATCTTTCATACATTGCTTTTATTTTACTTTACTTTATTTTGCATAGGAGAACTGGGGAGTAGGCCAGAGGTATGTGGTGGGTGGTGAGAGGTTTCACCGGAGACAGAGTAGGGAGCAAAACAGGGAGATCTACTGAAATACATTGCTGAGTGGAGCAGTGGGCAAGACAGGAGAGGTCTGCTGTGCCATGTGGTTCAGCTCACTGGCTGGAGATAGTCTCAGGCTATGGCTGAGCTAGCACTGAGACTTAACCCCTGGGGAAGCCCCATACATAACTTCTAATTGTTGATCAATTTAATCCAGCTTTTAATTATTTGCTTGTAGAGGTGAATAAAGGTTAGTAATAGACACAGTACACTGACTTTCCTTATATTTAATATTTCCCACATATCCTTCACATGTCTGTTACATGCCACCAGTTAATACATTCCCTTTCACCAATATGCCATCCCAGTAAGGCCTTACAATTCTTTTGCTACCTGTCTATCCACTGCACCTACCACCAATGGTGGGGTCCTCATTGCCAGACAGGAAGCAGGTGATCCATCTCCAAAATTTCATCACAGTGTGTGCCTTCCTGAACCACTTCTTGTACCAACTCTTGTAGCTGGCTTCCTGGAGAGCAGACTCAGACAGAGGTCAACAGGAAGGGCTTTTTTTTAGGGAATGCTCTTGGGATCAACACCTGTAGAAGGGAAAAGAACGAAGCAGGATTGGACAGAGGGAGAAGTTAAGTGGTCCCACTCAGGATCTATAAGACCTTGTCAATCAGTGATTGGATGTGAAGTAACCCAGGAAGTGGGTATAAACTTGGGGGTGGGGGTGGGGAAGTGGTTCTTTTCATCTGAGGCAATTCCTGAAGAGGGCTGAGAGCAGAGAGCTGTCTGCTGGCAGCTGGCAGCTCTCCCAGCAACTGAAATAGTAAGCTCTTTATTCCTGAAAGGGGATTAGGGCAGCAGATTGCTGAATTTACCACAAATGTGACATCATTTTTTCCATTTGCAAGCTGGTAGCCATAGAATATGAGAATTGAGAACAGTTTTATTTTCAAAATGGTTAACAAACCAAAACAAACCCTAGAAACAAGACTGCAGAATTAAATCTATCAGAGCGGGAAGAGAGGCTGGAAACAAAGAGGACAGTAGGTCTAATGGCCAGCGTAAAGGACTATGGGTGTTTTGGTGATGAGTGTGGTGTGGCGATATCCATCTGAGGTGTGAACCTGTATCCCTAAAACATATATAGTGTTGTAAACTAATGTTATCCCAATAAAGAAAAATTAACTGAATGAATAAAAGTGGTTAATTAAGACTTAAAATTTCAAACAGCAACACTTATGTTTAAAGATTTTAGTAAATGATATTTATTTAAATTTTTAATTAATGCCTTGCAAGTATTAAGACATAAGACAAAAGCCTCCACTTACACTTTTGCTCTAGGCCCCTGGAAGGCTATTGACAGGCCCGTCTAGCCTAAACCCAACTGTTTCCTTTTGGCAAATTATACAAAAAATCCTAGTCCACAATAGAAAAGACAGAAGCTACAGGTGAGTTCAAAACAAAATCATAAATCACTTATTAATCTATAGCCATTTTACCCATAGAGAACGATTAACATTTTCAGCAAATGCTCAAGTTTTATATACAGATCATTTAAACATATGCCTCTTCTTTATAAAAAGCATTGCATTTTTGCAACCTATTTTACCCCACTTAAAATTATATGCTGCATTTTTTCCCAAGTAAACAAACGTGCTCACTAACCTTTTCAAGAGCTACATAATGTCTCAATGTGCTGATGTACCTTAGTTTTTCTATTTATGAGACACTTGGGTCATTCACAGCTTTTCACCCTTCAAAATTATGTGGGGATGCAGAGCTTTCTGCAAACCAACTATCCCCTAAGGATACTCTCCAACAAGTGGAATGGCCGGATCAAAGAGCAGGCACCTCTTACGCTTTCTGAAACGCGTCCAAGCGGCCCATACCCATGTGCTTTCCCACCAGGACCGTACAGAATGCTCCTGCCCCACGCCCTCATCAACACTGTGGGTAGGAGAGGCTTGTCCCTTCTCCTAGATGTACACCAGCAGCACGCTCTGTGGTTCCCTCAAGGCCCTCCCCTATCCACCCTTGCCAAAGAACTCTCACAGCAGCACTAAGAAGTATTCTTCTGTTGTATCTTCTTAGGACTTCACAGCAGTTAACTCACCTCCACTTACGTGGCCGCCACCACCGACATCGGTGGAGGACCCTAACACTAAAATGTGCCCGGAATAGGTGCCAGCACTTCTTGATTCGAGGTTCTGTCACTTCCCACTTGCCCTCATCACTCCCAGGCCACCCAGCAGTGGAACCTCCCTCCTTTGTCACCTCCTGCTGAACTGGGCTGAATCTCCCTCCCTGGCTTTCCAGCCTCCAGGCGGCCTCCTCTCTCCACCCCAGCTCAACCCATGCTGCTCACAGGTCAGCCTCCTCTTTCCTTGCATCCTGTCATTCCTCTGGCCACAACACACCGACTTTGGAGTCTCCCGGGGTGGGCAGGGTGACATCGGGACACCGCAGGTTAGCAGTGGTGGGGGGCTGCCCCGGGACTGAGCCTGGCCCCAAATGCTGGACTCCCTTCCCATCACTCCCCTCCCCACTCTGCACCCAGCAGGCCAGGCCCCTGTCTGGAGCAGGAGTCCCACCTCCCGCCTTTCTTCTCCCCCCTCCTCCAGTGCCCTTCTGCCCGTGTTTCCCCACCCTTCATGCCCAGCTTATTCAACTTCTGCCTCTGCCATAAAACTTGCCTGCGCACCATCGCCCCTGGCACTTTCTGCACTGATGAGCAAAGGTGGCCATGACCAAGGGCTCTGGCAGTGCTAGGATCTTTCTGTTTCCACACACCTTGCCTTTCTACATGCGTCATAAACTCAAGGAGAAAACGGGGCTTTTTTTTCTGCTTAAAACACACAACTTTTATTGATGACAAAAAAATAAAGTATCATATGTATAAACATAAGTCCACACAAAGGACCAAAGATTACCTTACTTATGAAGAATCGGTTCAGTTTCTGCTCATGAAGCATACTAAAATTATCTCAATCCAGACAAGTTAAAAGTCAACACACATATTTTTCAGGACAAACTTGAATTCATTTGGTGTTCATAAAATGGTCTAGCTATAGACCATTTTAAGTAACATTTGTTTTGAAGTTATAATGCAATTTACAATGTGCATTACTTCCAGACTGCAAAACAAGGTCTGTTTGGAAACGTACAGCTACTCAGAGCTTACTTAACAATAGCTCAACTTTTTCTTTCACCTCAGGGTCATTATATTCTGCTGCTAAGACTCGAAGTTTCTTAGCACATGCTTTAGGCCGGTGGAATACAAAATAAAGGGAATTTTTACTGAACTTGTCCTGGGTGAATACTTTTGCTCTTCTTTTAAAATGGTAATTTATGTTTTCAAATAGTGAAAGAGCACTAAGGATATTCTCTTTTGTCTCTTTCTTGTTAAAGATATTCATCAGCGTTGTTGGTGCATTGGCAATGAGCAAGTCTTTGGTCATAGAGGGGTTTTTAGAGAAATTCAAAAGCATCCCCAAAACATGGTCTTTAATTTCTACACTTCCCACAGTTAGCAAACGGAGAAATTCTGAAATATAATTCGTAACCATATGCTGATATTCACTAATAATTGTCAGATGTTTTATCAGTCGGAGTCCAGCCAGCTGCACATTTGAATTCAAGGGGTAGGTGACTGTGTCTTCACATACTTGGTTTAAGTACGTTTTAACCTGCCTGTGATTTTCAGCAGCCACTGAGATATTGTTCAGCGCATTTAAAGCCTTCTGCCTAACACTGGGGTAGGGGTTACTGAGCAAACTTTCAATAATTGAGAGTCTACCTGCATTGTGAATGACTTCATGGGAAAGTGGACAATCAGGACTATTATACAAAGCATTATTGGCTATTTCATGAATGGAAGGATCTTCAGTCATTTCAATCATGCAGATGAGTTTCTCAAGTTCTTTTGGATCCATATTAGCTTCACGTTTACAGCGGCAGGGCACGGCCTGAGTTTTCTCCTCAGGCCTGATCTGCTTTCTGAACTCATCTTCAGGTGGGTAGCAGGCCTGATTTTGCTGTGGTAATTTCATTTCTGTCCAGAACATGGCTCCGGCCCACGACCCCATCCCTGCCCCAGGAACCATGGAAGGATATGTGCCTGACGACTTAGTTTTAGGTGAAGCTGTGTCCTCACTTTTGTTTTCCCCATCCCAGAACCAAGATTTTATATCAACTCCACCAGCAGCCTCAAGCCTGTCCTTGTTAATGGCTGTATCTCCAGCCCCATATTCAAACCTGACATCTTTCTCACTCTGGGATCTGCACTCATTACTGTTCTCGGTGTCAGCCCAAAACAAGGACCTTAAGCTGATTTCCTCAATATCGGGGCTGGACGTTCTGCTTAGCTCATCCTCATCTACTTCCTCTGCCAAAGTCCACAGCCCCATGTCAGCTCCTTCCTCAGCCCCAAGTCTAGACCCTGTAGAGGCTGCACCTCCATCCCAGAGCCAAGACTCCTTCCTGACCTCAGCCCCAGCCCCAGCCTCGGCCCCCACATAGGAATCCACATAGGCTGCCTCTCTGGATCTGACCCAGGACCCAACACTGGCCTGGTCTTCAGCCCCAAATCTGGAACTAAGGCTAGCTCCTTCCCCGAGCCCTGATCTGGATTCAGCACTGGTCTCATTTTGACCTCCACAACTGGGCACAATACCAGCCTCTTCCCTTTTCCAGGACCAGGACTCTGCACTAGTCTCGCCCCCAGCCCCAAACCAGCATCCATCTTTGGTCTGCACTTCAGTACCGACATGGGACCTTCCACTGGCCTGGTCCCCAGTCCTACCCCAGGATCCTCCACTCGCAGGGTCCTCAGATTCCAACCCAGATCCTCTACTGGTCTCATGCCCAGGCCGAGGCTCAACCCAGGAGTTTCCACCAGCCTGATCCCCAGTGCCAACCTGAGAACCTCCTACACTGGCCTGCTCCTCAAATCCAGGTTTGGAACAGCTACCAGCCTGAGTCCCAGCCCTGATCCAAGAACTTCCACAGGCTTGACTCCCAGGGTCAGCCCAGGACCCACCACTAGACTGGTCTGCAGGCTCTGGAGTCGACCCGCCAACAGCCTGGCCACCCGTCTCATCCCAAGAATTCCCTCCACTGGACTGGTCCTCTGCTCCCAGACTGGACACTCCACCAGCTTGGCCCTCAGTCCCAGGCCAGAAGCCTCCTCCACTGGCCTGACCTTCAAATCCAGCTTTGTGACAGCCACCAGCTGGATCTCCAGCCCCAGCCCAGGGCCCTCCACTGCTTTGGTTAACAGCCCCTAACACAGAGCCTTCAACTGCCTGGCTGCTAGCACCAACCCAAGACACTCTACCACTGGCCTGACTCCCACTACAAGCACTGAACCATTCACTGGACTGGTCCTCGGGCCCTGACCTGGACCCTCCACTGGCCTGGTCCCCAGTGCCAGACCAGGAATTTCCAATGGACTGGTCTCCAGGTCCCAGACCAGACCCTCCACCAGTGTGGACCCCACTGTCAGCCCAGGACTCTCTTCCACTGGCCGGGTTCTCAAATGTATGCTTTGCCCCCCCACCAATCTGATCTCCAGATCCAGGCCAAGACCCTCCATTGGTCTGGTCCACAGCTACAACCAAGAACCCTCCACTGGCTTGGTCCCCAGAATCAGCCCAGGACCTCACACTGGACTGATCCTCAGGCCCTGACTGGGATGCACCACCAGCCTGGCCACCAGCCCTAGCCAAAGACCCTTCTCCGCTGACCTGGTCCTCAGCTCTAGGCATGGACCCAGCACCAGGTTGATCATTAGTCACAGTCCAGGAGCCCTCGCTGACCTGGTTGATAGCCTCGACCACGAATCCTCCACTGACTGGATTCACAGTGCCAGGCCAGGATCCAACACTGGCCTGGTCCACATAGCCTGACTGAGATCCTGCACCGGCCTGTTCCCCAGTCCTAACCCAGGTCCCACCACTGGACTGGACCACTGGCCCCAGCAGGGAAGCTCCACTAGCTTGATCCACAGCGCCAGTCCAGGAGCTAATACTGATCTGGTCCTGGGGCCCTAGCGTGGACCCTCCACTGGCCTGGCCACCAGTTGTAGTCCAGGAAACATTTTCACTGGCCTGATCCTCAAATCTAGGCTTGGCTCCGCCACCAGATGGGTCAGCAGCCCCAACCCAGGAACCCCCGCTAGCCTGGTCCACAGCCCCAACCCAGTACCCGATAGTAGCCACACCCCCAGCCTTAGCCTCAGCCCAGGGCCCTGTGCTAGCTTGAATCCCAGCCCCATCCTGGGTGCTTCCACTGGCCTGCTGTTCAGCCACAGCCCAGGACCCTCCAATGGCTCCTGCCCCAACCCAAGACACCCCACTGGCCTGGGCCCCAGCCCAGGATGCTTCATTGGTCTGACTCCCAGCCCAGAGCCCTCCACTGGCCTGGCCTCCAGCCCAAGCCTCCCCAATAGCCTGGTTCTCAGTGCCAACCCAAGTGCCCCCTATGGACTGATTCGCAGCCCCAATCCAAGACCCTCCAATGGCCTTGCCCTCGGTCACTGCCCAGGAGCCCGCACTAGCCTGACCCCCAGCCCAAAACGCTTCAGTAGCCTGACTCCCAGCCCAAAGCCCTCCACTGGCTTGTTCACCAACTCCAGTCCAGGAGCCAACAGCAACCTCATTCTCAGCCCTTGCCCCAGGCCAGGACTTAATGGCAGCCTCATCAAAAGCTCCATCCCAGGATCCAATATTGACTTCATTCTCATCATCAGCCCAGGACATGCTATTCTCCCAATAACCATCCCTGGCCTGAAATCTAAACTTGATCCACCGCTCAGAAGCAATCCAATCCTCAACACCAATCTCACTCCAGTAATAGTCGTGGACCTTGGGCTCCATCTTTCTGCAGGCCTGAGTGCCTGTCTCACTCTCATGCTCAGAGGAGGGCATGGCCGTAGCCTCTGACTTCGCACAGAGCTCACTTTCTCCTGTGGCTTCTGCCTGAGACCTCGGTGCAGCCTTGTCCTTTGCCTCAGGCAAGATCTTGCTCTGGGAATCGGCCACGGACCGAGGTTGGCCAGAAACCACGGTCCCCGCTTTGGGCTCGGCATTGGGCTTGTTCCTGACCTTACTCCTGGCACCAAGTGAGGTCTCACAGTGAGAACTGGCCACGGCCTGAGGCTGGGCAGAGTCTGCTGGATCTGGCCCAGCCCCTGCCTTAGACACAACATTGGGATTGCCCCTGACCTTACTCCTGGCACCAAGTGAGGTCTCACAGTGAGAACTGGCCACGGCCTGAGGCTGGGCAGAGTTTGCTGGATCTGGCCCAGCCCCTGCCTTAGACACAACATTGGGATTGCCCCTGACCTTACTCCTGGCACCAGATGAGGATTCGCCTTGTGAATTAGACACAGCTTGGGACTGGGCAGAGCCTGCAATATCTCCCCCATCCTTTACCTTAGACACAGAATTGGGATTGCTCCTGACTTTATTCTTGGCACCAAGCAAGGCTTCACCCTGGGAGTTGGCTGCAGCGGGGGGCAGGCCAGAGCCTGTTGTCTCTGTCCCAGTCTCTATTTTAGACACAATATTGGAGTTGCCCCTGACCTTGTTCTTACTAGGCAAGGCCTCACCCTGGGGATTGGCCGTGGCCTGAGGCTGGCCAGAGTCTGCCGGATCTGGCCCAGTCCCTGCCTTAGACACAACACTGAGATTGGCCCTGACCTTACTCCTGGCACCTGGCAAGGACTGGCCTTGTGAATTAGACACAGCTTGGGGCTGGGAGGAGCCTGCTGCATCTGCTCCAGCCTTTACCTTAGATCCAGCATTTGAATTTTCCTTGACCTTATTCTTGCCAGCAGGCAAGGTCTCACCTTGAGAACTGTCCACAGTCTGGGGCTGAGCAGAACCTGTTGCAGTTGTTTGGGGCTGGGCAGAAAACAATGGCCCCGGCGCTGCCTTAGACACCGCATCGGGATTGCCCCTGCCCTTATTCCTGGTACCAGGCGAGACCTCCTCCTGGGAGATGATCCCAGCCTGGGGCTGAACAGAACCTGTTGGATCTCTTTGCGGCTGGACCGAACACAGGGCATCTGCCCCAGCCACTGCTTTAGACACAGCACAGGAATTGCCTTTCCCCTTATTTTTGGAACCCGGGAAGGCCTTGCTCTGCGAGCTGGCCACAGCCTGAGATTGGGCAGAGCCTGTGGTATCGGTCCCGGCCTCTGCCTTAGAGAAAGCGTTGGGAGTGGCCCTGCCCTTACTCCTGGCACCAGGTGCGGCTTCTCCCGGGAAACTGGCCACTGCCTGGGGCTGGGCAGAGTCTGCCGTATCTGGCCCAGTCTCTGTTTTGGACCCAGCATTGGGATTGCCCCTCGCCCTCTTCTTGTTACCAGGCAAGGCCTTACTCTGTGAATTGGCTGCGGGCTGAGGCTGGGCAGGGCCCGGTGTATCTGCCCCAGCGCCTGCCTTAGACACCGCATTGCGATTGCCCCTGCCTTTGTTCTTGCCACCAGGCGAGGCTTCACTGTGGGAAGTGGCCACATCCGGGGGCTGAGCAGAGCCTGTCGCATCTGCTCCTGCCCCTGCCCCTGCCTTAGACACAGCAGTGGAATTGCCCCTGCCCTTGTTCTTGCCAGCAGGCGAGACTTCACCTTGTAAATGAGACACAGTCTGGGGCTGGGCAGATGCCGGTGTATCTGCCCCAGCCTCTGCCTTAGACACCGCATTGGCATTGTTCCTGACCTTATTCTTGCCACCAGGCAAGGCTTCACCTTGCGGACTGACTATAGTCTGGGGCTGAGCAAAGTCTGTTGTATCTGCCCCTTCCCCTGCCTGAGGTACAACATTGGGATTGCCCTTGACCTTATTCTTGCCAGCAGGTAAGGCTTCGCCTTGTGAATTAGACAGAGCTTGGGGCTGGGCAGGGCCCGTTGTATCTGCCCCAGCCTCTACCTTAGAACCAGCGTTGGCATTGTTCCTGACCTTTTTCTTGCCACCAGGCAAGGTCTCGCCCTTGGCCACAGCCTGGTGCTGACCACAAGTTTTCTGTTCTGCCTTAGGCACGGTCTTGGAAATGGCATTAGTATCACTTTTGTCATCAACCCCGGAATCAGGCAAGGCATCAGCTTGGGGCTTGACCCCAGCCTGAGCCTGTGTACAGCTTTTCACATCTGTCCCAAGCTCTGCTTTACACTTGGCTTTAGCTTTACCCCGAGCCTTACCTCTTTTGCTAGGCAAGGCCTCAACCTGGCTCTTGACAGAGGCCTGAGACTGTGCCTTCATGTCTTTCCCAGCCCCTTCCTGAGACACGGCATTGGCATTATCCTTAGCCTTAACCCTGCCATCAGGCAAGGCATCAGCCTGGACTTTGGCCATAGGCTGAGACTGCACAGAGGACGACTTGTCTGTCTCAGTCCCTGCTTTAGACACGACAACGGAATCGCCTTTGCTCTTACCCTTAGCTGCAGGCAAGGCCTCGGGCTGGGAATCAGTCCTCAAGCTTGCCTTGGTTCCTATTTTAGGTAAGGCACTGGGATTGCCTTTCCCCTTAGCCCTGGCGTCAGGAATAGCCTCATCCTGAAGACTGGCAACAGTCTGAGGTTGAACAGTGGCCCTCATGTCAGCTCCAGTCACTGCACCAGATGTCACCTTGGGACCTTCCCCGACATCAGCCTTGGCACCAGGCGTTGCCTCCGCCTGTTTGTTGACCACAGTCTGAGGTTGTATAGCAGCTCTCATCTCGGCCCCTGGCCTCCCCTTACACACGCCAGTGGTATTTCCCCCGGTATCACCTTTTGCCACAGGCGTGGTCTCAGCCTGGGCCTTGGCTACCACCTGAGGCTGAGCAAGCGCCTTCACATCTACCCCAGACACTGCCTTGGACACAGTTTTGCGATTCCGCCTGCCCTCAACTCCAGCACCAGACATGTCATCACCACGGGCCTTGGTCACAGTCTGAGTCTGTGCACAGGATTTCATGTCCACTCCAGTTTCTGCTCTGGACGTGGTACTCCCACTTTTCTTAACATCAACTGTGGTACCAGGCCTGCACTCAGGCGGAATCTTGGCCACACTCACAGTCTCTTCCAGGGCTCTTGCCTTGGTCTCTGCAACACATCCAGTCTTGTTTATGGCCCTCAACTCGGCCACTTCCTTGGTCACTGCTAAGGCCTCATTCTGTGTCACCATTATTCTGTTAATGTCTGCCTCTTTTTCAGCCAACATACGAGCTTCTGCTTTGGTCTGGGTCATTGCTTCTTTCTTGCTGTCTGCCCTGGCAACCGGTGCCCAAGTTTTAGCCTTGGTCTGGGTCACTGCTTCTTTCTTGACTATTTTCCCAGCCTCAGAGTCAGTTTGCGTCACTGCCTCTTTCACGGGCGCTTCCCTGGCTTCGGCCTTGGCCTCACTCTGAGCCACTCCCTCTGTCACGACCACTGCCCTGGCCACTGTATGGGCCTCAGACTGGGTCCCTGCCTCTGCCCCAGTCATTGCCTTAGCCTGCGAGCTGGCTTTGGGCCTGGCTCTAGCAGTGGCCTTAGTCTCTACTTCAGCCCTGGTCCCATTTCCTGCTCCAGTTTCTGCTCCAGTCTCGGCCTTGGCTTTAGTTTCAATCGCTGTCCCAGCCATGCCTTCACTCTTGGCCACGGTCTGGTTCTGTACCCCAACCACACTCTCCATCTTGCCTCGGGACCCATGTCTGGCAAGCCTCCTCACACTCTGGACTCGGTCCTTGGTTAATCTGTAAATGTAGTAGCAGGTACCAGCCCAGATCACTAGTCCTGCAGTCGCCCATCCCACTTCCTGAACGCGACCCATGTAATCACCCCTGCTGAAGGCACGAACAAGGTATGGGTGTGGGGGGAGGGGTCTCAATCGAGCTGGGGAAAGAGGGTGGTAGGTCTGGGTGTAGGCCTGTGAGGGCGCTGGTCTTCAGTCACTCAAAGGCCACTACAGCTGCCTCTGGAGGTGGACCTAGAAGTGGAGGAAGGAAATGGACTAAAACTTCTCTTCTAATTCTGTGCATCACAGAGATAGATACACAGAAGGACAGGAAAGTGCAAAAATGATGAGCTAGGTAGGAGAAGAGGATGACTAGCAAACTCTCTCCATCCTTTTCATTTTATCCCCTCCCCGACTTCCCCAATGCCCAACGATTTCTCCCAAGCTCCTTCCGTCCATACGCATTTCCTTACTCCAAATGAACTGTGGAAAGGAAGATGGGAGGGCTGAAGATGAATGAGAGAGTGAGCAGCTCTCAGACTTTGATGTTTACTGGACCTATTCTGGTCACCATTCCCACAAGTCCCCACCCTCATACCAACCTGTAACGGTCCAAGGCAGTTCCCGCCTCTTTCCTTCTCTTGATTGGTGACACACCCTAAAGTGGATCTATGAACTCATGGGATCTGTGCACCTAGAGACAGACAGATAGACAGATGGAGGGGCAGATGGGAGTGGGGCTTCTGTTCTTGATGGGCGGGCATATTATTAGCAAACTGTCTCTCTAGCCCCCTCAGTTCACCCCACTCCCTGCACAAACTGACAGGGGTGGTAGGAAAGGTGGCTGGGAAAGGGAGAGGCTGAGAATCTTCTGGTCTAGGCAGCCATCTTCCATGCATGCTGGTCTCCACCAACCCACCCTAGAGGTCTGCCCAGGCAGCCCCCATCCTCTTACCAGTCTATACTGATCAAGGGCAATTTCCTCCTTATTGCTTTGCTTCCAGTGATCTCAAACCCTGCAGAAGGCCTGCAGGCCGATCTATGAACAAGTAAACAAATAGGAGGTAATAGAGACCGAGACCTTTGTAGAACAGACAAACACTCTGATCCCTGACCCCCAGTGCCTGCCTTGTCAGAGCTGGGTTCAGCTTGCTAATATGACCCACATCATGGTCTGCCCTCTTATCTGCTCTCAGTACACTCCAGCCCACCATTAAGCCAAAATCCCTACTATTTTCTGAACAGAAATCAGTTGGGGTGCGGCAACACTGGAATCTCGCAGAGACCAGAAGAAGCAGGGGCACCTGTCACTGAGGTGCTCAGATCTCAGGTACCTTCTGGACCCAACCTCTCTCATTCCCACCTTCACACCAACCTCCATGGCTCCGGTTCAGTCTCCCCCTTTCCCTTGCATCCAGTGGCAAACAGCCCTCCCGTGGGCCTAGGAGAAAACCTAGGAACAAACGGAGAAAAGGGGGAGATGTAAATGTTGAGCGCTGCTATCATCTAGGCATTTAAGACTGAGTTAGAGACTCAATCCCCAACAAGCAAAGCCTAGGGCTTGCCCAACACTGAACTGGCCAGTGTGGAAAAGAAAGGCAAGAAAATAAAAGGGGAGCGAGAGAGGCAAATTATTTTCAAACCACCTGTAGGATTCTACGGCTTCTCCCCAAAACATCATCATTTCCTTCACCAAGACAGACAAGTGTGGTATCTGGAAAACTGGACGATGTCAAGAAAAACGGTGACACGGCCCTCCCCCAGATCCCATACAAGATTCATAAATTACTACCATAGATTTCCCTTTAAATCCATCTCTAGGAGTCTCCAGAAGTAGAAGAAACAAGGTTTGCTTCTGCAAAACCACTATTCCTCCCCACAGCAAAGGCTTTTCTCAAAAAAAAAAAAAGTAAACTTCTTTGATGCAATTTGTATTTTCTCAGTATTATAAAGAACAAGTTAAAGCAATCATTAAGAATTTTGCTCTCTTTATTGGTCTTCAACAGACAATGAACATTAAAATGCTAAGCTTGGGGGCCTTCCCTGATGCCGCAACAGGTAAGGACGCAGCACTGCAACCTAGCAGCAATGCTTCAGTGCAAATTCGATCCCAGTCCCTGGAGCTGACCCACATGGCGCGGCAGACCTCTCCTGACCCGCCCGCTGCTCCCCTCAGCAGTATACTTCATCCATCTGCCTTCTTTGCTCCCGTCTCTGTCTCTGGTGAATCCTCTCATGGCCCCTGCACCTCTGGCTTGTACCCCAGTTCTGTATGCATAAATAAATAAAATCTTTTTTAAAATGCTAAGGTTAATTGTCCCTTTAGTGTGGAAATCCCCTAACCAGTCCTGTCTGGTATCCCAACAGAGCACAGCGCCTAAGTTCCTGTCTTGGAGAATAATTCCTATCACACTTCAATGGTTCACAGGCAGCACCTGTGTTCACACTAACCTCACAAATCCCAGGCAGTTTTCTCCTCTCCTCCTCCCCTTGCCTGGCCACAAACAGTGCCACACAGAGCTACTCTCTATCAGACAAGAGTATCTTGGCACTGGGAGCTTACACTGACACCAGGACACAGATCCCAGTGCCCGCTCACCTTTCAGGATTCGGGAGCCCCACTATTAAACACCCCTTCCCTCATTCCGAGGTGCCACCCTCACCAAGCCCTCAGTCCAGTCACCTAAGGCCCACCATTTTCTCTCCTAACGCCACCACACTATGTCCCTTCCAGGGAAACGAGCAGGAAGCTGAGCGGGCATGTGCGGCCGGTGATTAGAGCCAGAAAGGATGGGCCATGTCAATCTCTGCATCTCCCCTGGAGACACTCCCCTCATTTTCCCCTCTGTCAAAACCCGAGATTCCCCTTCACAGACGTGAGGAGGGGGAGGGAGGCCAGGGAGAATCAGAGGCGAAGGCTCCTCGAACTTGAACCGCTTTACCCTCCACCTCCCCACTGGGACCCGCTACTGGATCGTCAGGCCGCCGCCGCCCCGGCCTGGGCGCGCGGCCCCGGGGCCCTTACCTGCTCCGCTCTCCGGGGCCCGATGCCAGCCCGCCGCGCGCAGGGCAGCGGGGACCTGGTACCCAGACGCGAGTGACGACTGCACCGAAGGCTGCGTCGTTCTGCAGCTCCCGGTCACGTGAGGGCCCCGCGTCACCGCCGAGCTCGCCCTCCTCCCCACCCCACCCCACACCATACCACCGAACGCCACCCCCACGGGCCAGCGGGAGGTTGCGCTGGACCCTCCCCCACCCCACCGGCTCGCTGGAGCGTCCCCTCCCCTACTCGGCTCTGCGCGGTGACCCGGGGCGCACCACCCAGTCGTTCGGCTCGGTCCTCTCCAATCCAATTGCCCAGGGCTGTTGCCGCCCCGAGGCTCGAGTTTGCCCCTTCTCTGGTCACCAGGGAAGATCTACAGCCCCCACCCAACCTCAGGCCCTCGCTGGACCTGCTGCTTCTTGAAGGGTATCCTCTTTTTCTTTTTTTTTTAAGCTGTAAAACCAATGCTTCCCATAGGTTCCTCCACAAACTCCTCTCCCTTGTATATTGCTGCCCAAAAGGGGGTTAGGAAAGGGGTGTCAAGACGAGAATGAGAGTGCAAAGAGACGCGTTACTTTCTTCTCTATGTTCCTTTTTTAAAAATCCCTTTTATATCACACCCATTGTTTTTGTCATCTGAAAATGCAGTCATTTTCATTCGGCATTAAAAAAAATGTATCACTAGGATAACAAGATACATTCATTCGTTCATTCCTTGATTCATTTGTGTGCATTGTAAAAAATGTTCTCTAGTTGCTATGAACTATTTCACAGCTTTCAAAATAGACTAGTGATTGCTGGCATTTTTTTAAAGTTTTCCTTTATTTATAATACAGAAATGGGGTACAGGCCAGAGGTGCAGGGGTGGCGAGAGGATTCACCAGAAACAGACTGGGGAGCAGAACAGGCAGATCGACAAAGTATACTGCTGAAGGGAGCAGCGGGTGAGACAGGAGAGGTCTGTTGCACCGCTGCACCATGTGGATCACCTCCCTGGGCAGGGATAGAACTGGCACTGAAGCACCCATGGCTTGGTTTCCCAGTACAGGACTCCAACCCGCTGTGCCACCATGGAAGGCCTGATTGCTGGCATTTTTAATGCAAAAAAAAAAATACTAAACAAAACTAGTACATATTCAATGTGGTTGATACATTGATCTTTCAATTGATTCAGTTTTCTAATTTTGGCAATTTTACAAAAATGACTTACAACCTTTTGAAGTTCTAGCAGAATTTAGCATCACGTGTTAGAGATGATGGAGAATTTCTTCATGGATAACTCCTGAATGGTGAACACAGTGCCTGAAAATTAGTGTTTACCATTCAAGAGGGTTATTGGGGCTTTACAAAATAAGCACCTGATCCAATCAGTCTCATCACACCAATGAACAGACCAGATGATATTCCACTGATAGAAACAAGACTCAACAGATAGGATTGATAGGATTTGTACACCACGGTGAAACCAGTGTGCTCTTATCAGGTGGTACAAACCACCCTAGCAGTGGCTAGTGTTCAATATCCTCCATGGGGGGGCAGAGTTGGTGTTGACTGAATCTCCTCAAAAACACTGACATGCTTATTGTTGTTTTCTCCTCACAAAGGATAGTTTACAGGATCCCCTGTAGTTACCAAGAGGTTTATGCATTCCCTCCTTCTGTAACCATTTCACTGCATCTTCCCTAAGCCCCCTCAGAATAAACCCAGAAGTCAGGGACAAAAGATATGCAAAAGTACCCAGACATCCAGCTGTTCAAGTTGGGGAGTCATACTCTAAATATAGACCCTCAGGCAGTCTCTTTCATAGAACGTTGAAATATGATACCCTAGCAGGAAGTAGCCCCAGTGAAGGGGCCTCAGTGTGAGTGTGTGTGTGTGTGTGTGTGTGTGTGTGTGTGTGTGTGTGTGTAGGGGATAGACCCTTTGGGGAGGTGAGCCAGGAAGCCCACAGTACCATGGAACTCACTAATGGCTTTTCAGAAGTCAATTGCCCATGACCAATTTATGGTCTCCACCAAAGGAAAAGAATCATAAATTACAGAAAACAAACTTTGGTAATGTGGAAAACTAAAACAAAACCCAGAAGGTGTGAAATTGCATTCCCAAAATTATACAGTTATGTAAACCAGTGGCAAATCAATAAAACTTGAAAAAAATCCCATAAACTTAGCATGCCAAATGGCTAATTTTTAATAATCTGAGAACTCTTACAAATCATTAATAAAATGATAAACATACAATAGGAAAAAAGTACCAAAGACACAAGTGGATTTGTTCACATAGAAGGAACACAAATGAACAATAAACATATAAAAAGTTGTTAAACTTCAAAGAAATGCAAATCATAACAATTATATCTTAACAGTGTTTCAGCTACGAGTTTATCAAAATTTAGAAATGTGCTAATATTGTTGACTGGCTTGTGGGATTGTGGACATTCCTGCCTTCTGTTGGAGGCACATACTCTGATGCAAACTTTTTACAGAGGGCAATTTGGCAAGAGCTATTAAATAATAAGTTTAGTATTCTATAATTTTATGCAGAAATTCTATTCCTTAGAAACTAGCCAACCTATATGTACACAGTTTCACAAACACACACACACACACACACACACACACACACTAGGGTACCTACTGTGGTGCTTGCAAATATTTTTTTAAAAAACTGGAGCAAAATAAAATACCCATGCCTAGGGGAATGGCTAAATAAATTGTAAATTGTGTTAAATTGAAACAACATGGATGATTAAAAAAAGATTTAGGATATACAGATTTAATGTTTTTCCAATAAAAATCTCAATGACATTCTTCAAAGAACTAGAGCAAATATTGATGAGATTTATATGAAACCACAAAACCTCAAATGGCCAATAGTCTCTGGACTAAAACAAAGAGAACGGAGGCATCACCCTTGCAGACTTCAAGCTATACTACAAAGCCATAATAATCAAAACTGCATGGTACTGGAACAAGAACAGACATACAGACCAGTGGATAGAAATAGAAAACCCAGATAAAAGCCCACAGGTTATGGACAGCTAATCTTTGACAAAGGAACAAAGAATATGAAATGGACAAAGAAAGTTTGTTCAACAAATGGTGCTAGGAAAATTGGGATGCTGCTTGCAAAAACATGCACAAAAAAACAACTTCAAGTGGGTTAAAGAACTAGACATAAGACCCCAAGCCATAAAATATCTGGAAGAAAAGTGGACAAAACAATACATGACATATACCTCAGCAACATCTTTAAAGATACCCAAAGCAAGGATAGTGAAGGAAAGGATAACCAGCTGGAACTACATCAAGTTAAAAAGCTTCTGTAAAGCAAAAGAGACATTACACAAAACAAAGGTATATCCCACTGGTTGGGAGAAAATTTTTGCCCACAATACTAATGACAAAGGGTTGATCACAAAGATATACAAAGAGCTCATGAAACTCAACAAAAATAAAGTGAACAACCTCATCAAGAAGTGGGCAGAAGAGATAAAAAGACACTTTTCCAAAAAGGAAATGCAGATGGCCAACAGCCATATGAAAAAGAATGCTCAACATCATTTTTAATAAGGGAGATGCCAATTAAAACCACAATGAGATATTATCTCACACCAGTGAGAATGTCACATATTAAAACAACTAGCAACAACAAATGTTGGCAAGGATGTGGAGAAAAAAGAACTCTCCTGCACTGCTGGTGGGAATGCAAACTAGTACAACCACTATGGAAAGCTGTTTGGAGGTTTCTCAAACTGCTAAAAAATGGAGCTTCCATATGACCCAGAAATACCACTCCTAAGTATCTACCCAAAGAACACAAAAATATTGATTCAAAAGGACACCTGCACCTCCATATTTATTGCTGCTCTACTTACAATAAGGGAGACATGAAATAAACCCAAATGCCAAAAAAATAGATGGCTGGATTAAAAAGATGTGGTACACTATGGAAAACTGTTTGGAGGTTCCTCAAACTGCTAAACATGGAGCTTCCCTACGACCCAGCAATCCCACTCCTAG